GTTGGAGAACTGGCTCAGCAGTCTAGAGCACTTGCTTTGCAGAGGACCCAGTGTAGGTATTTATTAGTACCCACATGACGGCTTGCAGCCATCTGTAATTCTAGTTCCAGGTGATTGGATGTACACCCCAGGAACACACGATGCACATGCATACACGCAGGCAAAACATTCATACCCATTGTGATGGTATGAATGAAAATGGCCCCCATAGCTTATATGTTTAAATGCTTGGTACCCAGTTAGTGGAACTGTTTGAAAAGAATTAGGTGGTATGGCCTTGTTGGAAGAGGTGTGTCACTGGGAGTGGGCTTTGAGGTTTCAAAAGCCCTAGACAGGCTCTGCATGCAACTTGCAGATCAGATGTGAGATCTTAGCTATTTCTCTAGCACCATGCCTGCCTGTGCTTCCCACCATGATGATAATGAACTAAGCCTCTGAAACTGTAAGCCAGCCCTCAATTAAATGCTTTCTTTCGAAAGTTGCCCTAGAGCCCTGTGATGGTGGCGCACACCTTTAATCCCAGCACTTAAGAGGCAGAGGCAGGCACATCTCTGTGAGTTCAAGGCCAGTCTAGTCTACATGGTTAGATCCAGGACAGCTATGACTGTATAATGAGATGATGTCAGGGGAGGAAAAAAGAAGAAACCATTGGTAGTTTGAAAAGGATGGCATGGGGCCAGGGTCAGTAGCAAGCAATAGACAGAGCCAAGCTGTGCACAGGGCTCTGCAGTGACAGCCGCCAGCCTGGCGTGGCAATTAGTCACTTGAAATGTAGCTAGTGCAAGCATGGAACTCATTTTTTTCTTGTTAATCAGTTGACATTCAAATCGTCACATAGGGCTGGAAGCTGCCCTGTTGCATACACAGGTTTAGAAAGACACTGATAGAGGCTTAGAGAGAAGAATGCCTCGGTTAACATCCTGAGCCAGTGCCCGATGTCCCACAAAGGGTGTCATAGTGGGGAGGGAGGCTGAAGTCAAGCACCCCTTTCTCCCATGTTTTTTTTGGGGGGGAGTGTTTCAAGACAGGGTTTCTCTGTGGCTTTGGAGGCTGTCCTGGAACTCTCTTTGTAGACCAGGCTGGCCTCAAATTCAAGAGATCCGCCTGCCTCTGCCTCCCAAGTGCTGGGATTAAAGGTGTGTGCCACCAACGCCCTGCTTCCTTTCTCCCATTTTGATGGGACTGGGACAGCATGGATATTTTCCCTGGCCTAGCTGTCATTACTATGGCTGGTGCATACTCTGCTACATTAGAGGGATATTGGTTAGTGGCAGCCCACAGGCTGGTCTTATTACTTTTCCATGTCCAGAATGGATGGGCTGGATTCTGCCTATAATATCAGCAAGACTTGGAAGTTGGGGGCAGGTGGGTCAGGAGTTCAGGACTATCTTGGGCTACCGTGAAACCCCGTCTCAAAAAAAAAAATGGGAGGTGGTGGCACACGCCTTTAATCCCAGCATTCAAGAGGCAGAGGCAGGTGGATCTCTGTGAGTTTGAGACCAGCCTGGTCTACAGAGCAAGTGCCAGGACCTCCAGGGCTGTTACACAAAGAAACCCTGTCTCAAAAAATCAAGCCAAGCCCACATACACACTTTTTTTTTTAAGAAGTCAAGTCTGACCTGGTGGCCTTTAATCCCAGCACTTGGTGGGTAGAAGGGGGGAGAATCTCTTCAGTTTGAGGCCAGCCAACTCTTACATAGTGAGACTGTCTTTAAAAATAACAAAACAAAGCCGGGCATTGGTGGCACACACCTTTAATCCCAGCACTGGGGAGGCAGAGGCAGGCGGATCTCTGTGAGTTTGACCAGCCTGGTCTATCGAGCGAGTTCCAGGACAGAGTCCAAAACAATACAGAGAAACCCTGTTGCGAAAAACCAAAAACCAAAAACAAAGACAAACAAAAAAACCAGCCGGGCAGTGGTGATGCACGCCTTTAATCCCAGCACTCGGGAGGCAGAGGCAGGCAGATCTCTGAGTTCAAGACCATCCTGGTCTACAAGAGCTAGTTCCAGGACAGCCTCCAAAGCCAGAGAAACCCTGTCTTGAAAAACCAATCTAGATAGATAGACAGACAGACAGACAGACAGACAGACAGATAGATAAATAACAAAACAAAGATAGGGACTGGAGAGATGGCTCAGTGAATGAGAGCTTTGGCTGCTCTTCCAGAGGACCTGAGTTCTATTCCCATCACCCACATGACAGCTCACAGCCATCTGTAACTCTAGTCCCAGGGGATCTGATACCCTCTTCTGGGCTCCAATGGCACCACATGCATGGTGCACAAACCTGTATTTAGAGAAGATACTCATACCCACGAAATAAGTCCGTGTGAAGATGCTGAGGCTTTAACCTGGGGCCTTGCAGCCAGCGCTCTGAACCACAGAACCATCTCTCCAGCTCCCAAAATAAGTTCGTCTAAAACATTTAGATTTATGTGCATCTCAGGTGTGTCCGGTGCCCCCTAGATATTAGAATAGGATTTCAGATCTCCTGAAACTGGATGGTTGTGAGCCACCATGTGGTGCTGGGACCAGAACCTAGGTCCTCTGGAAGAGTAGCAAGTGCTTTTTTTTGTTTGTTTTGCTTTTTCAAAACAGGTTTTCTCTGTAGCTTTGGAGCCTGTCCTGGAACTCACTCTGTAGACCAGGCTGGCTTGGAACTGGTCCTCCTGCCTCTGCCTTCTGAGTGCAAAAACAAAGAGAATGAATGAAAACCTAACCACTAGGGTAAAGGTTAACAACTGAACTATCACTTATTCTTGCTGGGAGAGGGAGAGTGAGTTTTCTCCAGTAGAGTGACGCTGTGGTGTATCAACCACTACAGGACAGGCCTCATGTTCAGGAGTAGTTGACTAATACATAATGGACTCCATCAGGTTTTTGCGTGTGCTTTTATTTGGCTAGTTTGCTTTATTGGGGGGGGGTGTGGGGTTTTGTTTTCTTGGTTTTGTATTGAATTTTTGTTTGTTTGTTGAGAAAGGACTTAAAGTTGTGAGTTGGAAGAGGGAGCTGAAGAATATGATCAAAATATAATTAAATTTAAAAATCACCATACCCAACGAAAAGCATAATAAAAATTCTCAAACAATTTTAAAAATGAAAAGAAAAATGAAGAGACATTGATGTTCCAGGTGGAGACTCAGGTTCCACAGGTGACTTATTTAAGTCACACAGCAAATGAGGGACACAGCTGAGGTTTGAACTTGTGTCTTACCTGTCTCTGGTGCCCATGACTCTAGGACTGTGCTTAGGTGGAGCTGGATGAGGACGTGGGACCAGGAAGGAGAGAGGGGACCTGTGCCCTGTTACCAATGGGAGGCCAAGAGTGTGTTTATCCCCACTGGAGTGCAGGGACGGGGCTGGATGGGGACCTCCATGTTCCTTGTAGTAGATGGATATCATGTTTATACAGAGGAGGCTGAGGGTCACTGATGAGTCCTAAAAGTATTCCCCCCTCACTGTGGGAGGTGACTCAAGGGGGCAGGGAATCCCAACCGGTTCCTGGACTAGGAAAAAGAAAACACCCTTTCTGATGAGGTGGGTGAGATCTGAATTCAGAAGGAATCAAGGACAGGTCAGAGTAGCGTGCTGGGCTTGGTGCCCGTACCATGACAAGCAAGGGACGGCTGTTCTGAGGCACTCTGCTAGGGGAGCAATGGGGGTAGCATGTCTGCAGTTACCGTGTGTGGTGACTGCAGAAGACGGAGCAGGTGAGCCAAACACAAACTCCCAATGAGGCTCAGAAGGGTTCTGTGTTCGCCAGTGCAGTCTCTCTGGAAGTTTAAAACTGTTGACAAAGTAAGTTTCCTGTGGCTAGCCATGATGGTATGCCCAGTAGAGGCACACAGATAGTTATGTGTTTGAGGCTAGCTTGGCCTACATAGCAAGTTCCAGGCTAGCCAGGACTGCACAGTAAGAACCTATGCCAAGCTAGGTGGTGGTGTACTCCTTTAATTCCAACACTCACAAAGCAGGGGCAGGCAGGTCTGTGAGTTCGAGGCCAGCCTGGGCTACAGAGGAAGTTACAGGACAGCCTCCAAAACAATACAGAGAAACCCTGTCTCAAAAATCCAAAAAAAAAAAAAAAAAAAAAAACTATGTCAAAACAAACAGCCGGGTGTTGGTGGCGCATGCCTTTAATCCCAGCACTTGAGAGGCAGAGGCAGGCGGATCTCTGTGAGTTCGAGGCCAGCCTGGTCTACAGAGGAAGTTACAGGACAGCTAGGGCTGCATGGAGAAACCCTGTCTCAAAAATCCAAAAAAAAAAAAAAAAAAAAAAAAACATGTCAAAACAAACAGCCGGGTGTTGGTGGCGCACGCCTTTAATCCCAGCACTCGGGAGGCAGAGGCAGGCGGATCTCTGTGAGTTCGAGGCCAGCCTGGACTACAGAGTGAGTTCTAGGACAGCCTCCAAAACAATACAGAGAAACCCTGTCTCAAAAAAAGGAAAAATGTACAAATTGAATTACATTCAAATTTTACAAAAGCAGAATGAGCCACACTCAGGCCCAGTTTCTAGGTTCTGATTGGACTGGGCCTGTGGAGGGCTGTGTCTGGGACTGTCACAAGTCCCCAGGTACAATGGGAGCTAATTGCCCCATGAGATATGGTGATAAATGTGCCTATTCCTACCTTATTAGCATCTGCAAGAATGGACAGGAGGAATCCAGGCAGTACCCCAAAACCAAGGCGGCTGGAGTCAGCACATTCTTCTGGGCCTTGGAGATATCTGAATGGCAAAGACCCCAGATCTGAGTCTCTGGCTTGGCAGGCAGGGGAGCATACCCATCCTTGGCAGAGTGGCTTCAGTTTACATTTCTATTACCAGTCCAGCTGAGCACTGCGTGGATTTGATGGCAAATAATCTATCCCCTCTTTCCCTGTCCGTCCATTTTATAAGTGAGGACATTGGGTCCTGAGGTCATCCCCCATCAAAGCCCAGACAGGGGCCCCAGGTAGACAGGGATTCATGTCTCTGATCCCCCTCTGGTATTTCAGGGCAGGAAGACTACGATCGGCTGCGGCCTCTGTCCTACCAGAACACGCACCTCGTTCTCATCTGCTACGATGTCATGAACCCCACCAGCTACGATAACGTCCTCATCAAGGTAAAGTCCTGCCTGCCTCCAGGAGTAGGGGTCAGCTCCAGGGTGGCCTTTGCCCTGATGTCCTGCTTTCTTCCTCCTCAGTGGTTCCCTGAAGTCACTCATTTCTGCCGAGGGACCCCCATGGTTCTCATCGGCTGCAAGACAGACCTGAGGAAGGACAAGGAGCAGCTGCGGAAGCTCCGGGCGGCCCAGCTGGAGCCCATCACCTACACACAGGTGGGCCATGGTCCCAGCTACCCCTCATGTCCACCACCCCTGAACAGCCATAGCCAGACACCACCTACACCTCGGTCTTCTCAACCGGAGTGCCTTAGCAGGCACTTAAGTCATCAGATGATAGTAATACTTAGTAATAATAATAATAATAATAATAATAAGGCACACACCTTTAATCCCAGCACTCGGGAGGCAGACGCAGGTGGATTTGAATTTGACACCAGCCCAGTCTGCAGAGCAAGTTCCAGGATGGCCAAGGCTACACAAAGAAACCCTGTCTTGAAAAACCTAAACGAAAATCAATAGGCTGCACACAATGATGCACATGTTTTACCCCAGTACTCAGGAAGCAGAGGCAGGCGGATCTCTGCGAGCTCAAGGCCAGCCAGAGCTACATAGTGAGGCCTTGTCTCAAATAAAAAGGAATAGGCACTAATAGTGTAAAACCAAGATTTTTTTATTATTTCACTTCACCAGTAAACTCAGTCATTGAGTTTGGAACTGACAATGAACAGAGAAGCCTGAGATGTAACCAGCCCCAGCTCTCAGACAGAATTCAGCCCCCTCTGCTGAAAGCTAGGGAGAGGACAGGTGGGGCCAGCAAGGGGTTTCTTCCATCCAGCTATGCAAACGCCAAACTGGCTACTGCTCTAACAGAGACTTTGGTCTCCACCAAAGTTAGTTTTCCAGTTCTGGGGAGCCTCCAAAGCTAGCCCAAACTCCAAGGACTCCAAGGGGGTGTCAGGAGGCACCAGGCCCTCATCTAATTAATACTGCCCCCTCCCCCTCCCAGGGCATGACTGCTTGTGAACAGATGCGAGCTGCACTTTATCTGGAATGTTCTGCCAAGTTTCGGGAGAATGTGGAAGATGTCTTCAGGGAAGCTGCCAAAGTGGCCCTCAGTGCCCTGAAGAAAGCACAGAGGCAGAAAAAACACAGGATCTGCCTGCTGCTGTGACCCCGGGGCAGACAGCCCTGAGTGGAACTGTCATGGCCAGGGACCCAGGCCTAGGCCACTCCTGGGACTCTGCCCCATCAGAGCCTTCCAGTGCCTGGCATCTGGGGCTAGCCCCTTGGAGCATTCTCCAACCTTTTGGGTTCACGCTCTAGTTCAGTGGTGAATGATGGTGTCAGACCCACCAATGTCCCTCTGCCCTGGGATTGGCACATGTTCCCAGGCCACAGGAGGGCCCTTGTCACAGCTCCTTCTTGCCCCAGTCATGCATTTCCCTTTCCAAACCCAATTCATGCTTGAAACTTAAAGACACTGAGAACATGGGCAAATGTTGATCTGCAATGCTGTTTACAAGAGTTCCAAGCCCACTGTTCCTCTGTCACTGTCTCCCTGAGCTCCTGAGATAGGCTTGGCTACATCCTCCAGCCTCTTCCTTCTTCCCCCTCAGGAACCCGGGGCCACAGCCTATCAGGAGAACCCAGGCATCAAGCCGGACATGGGGCTGGCACCAGCTAGCTGCTCGATTGGTACCACACTGAAGACTTTTGTCTTAGCCTGAGACAGATGTTCAGAGGCCTAAGAACATCTCAAAAGGTCAAAATATACTCAGGCCAGCCAAGCCTCCCACCCAATCCCTGCTTCAGGTCCCACCTCCAAACCCCCAGTAGACTTCCACTGGGGACTCCTGTCAGGGGCCTCAGGGAAATGGGCTCTCTGCCCAGACCATTCCCCATCTGTAAATGGCCAGGATCGGGTCATTGGAGTAGTCAAGCTCTCATCTTCTACCCGATTCAGTCTCTTGCTCCTACCAGAGTGTGGGGCTCAGGAATGGACTATCCCTGCCTCCTTCCGGAACTGACATGGTCATCCCTGGCCACACTGGACAATTTTCCAGAACTGGCCTGCTGACCACCAGTGTCTACGACAGCAAGATTCTTGAGTTCTGACATTTCCTTCCGGAAGGTCTAGAGTCTACATTTCAGAACTTCTCAAGCCAAGGGTCCCAGGTGGTTTTAGTGCCCCCAAGAGGAAGTCAGCATCTCCCAAGAAGAAACCATGACCTTGGCTGGCCCAACCTTCCCAGTACCTGGACTCAGCCCCTAAAGTCAGGTTGCCAAGGAGAGACTTCAGATCCCCTTCCCCCAAGTGCCCCAGGGCCTGTGGTCCCCTGCAGAGCCAACCAAGGACTACTTGTTTTCTCAGATTCAAAGGCCTTGTGAATAAAATTATGGTGTAGGGCAGAGGTCAACAAAACACAGCCTGTGGGCTACATGTGGCCACTGCCTGTTTTTGTAAATAAAGTTTTATTCAACCGCCACAATTATGCAATGGCAGTTTTTGCTCCACACCTGCAGGCTGAAGTTACCACAGGACTAGCCCGCAAAGCCTAAACTACTCATCATCTGGGCTTTAATGGGAAAAGTTTGCTGACTCCTAACCTGGCCAATCATAGGTACCTGCAGAGGACAGGCCGGGCGATCCAAGGACGGAAGTGGGGTGGGGTGGGGCGGGGGAGGGGCGGGTTGTGGCTAGCAGGAGCAGGTGCCAGATCCTGACCTTTGGGAATCTTGCCAGGCCTTTCCATTTTGGTAAGGTAAACAGAAATCTGGATTCTTACGGAATCTCAGGGTGGGAGAGGCGAGACCTCGTTTTTTATCACACAACTAAAGAATTTGAAACTCTTGTGAGGACCAAATGAAGCATGTCTGAGGACGCCAGCTGTGAGGCCCGGTAGAGCAGGCAGCTGAGGCCCATGGGCGGGAAGGGACAGAACGTTTAAAGGAACCTGTTTGCGCCTTCACCCTTGCTGCCTGGACCTCACGGGGCCGCACAGCCCTTCCCACACATATAAGACCCTCTGTGGAAGGAGAGGCAGGGAATGAGTGACCTCCAAACGGCTTTAAGTTCCAGTCACGCCGGGTCTAGGTCCTATGTCAAGGACTCAACAGCACGTTTGTGAAGGAAGGCTCAAGGGCAGCAGTGAGAAACCCCCAAGAGCCCACGGGGCGCCCTCTGGTGGAGCTCATCCTTAAAACCCCACCACCTCAGGGCTCCTCTAGGTCCTGAGTAGGCTGTTCCTCTCTCCCCTAGGTCAGCGGGCAGGCGATGCAGGAAACACAAAGCAAGACACAAGACAGGCAGGATCTCTGAGAACTTAAATACTCCCTCACCACAGAGGGTGGGGGCTATGGGGCGCTTACACAGAGGTGGTGGCCCAGGGGAGGGGGCTCCACAGGATGCTGAAAGTTTCATTCCACCCCGTGCCTGGGACACGGTAAATAGCAGGTCAGCTAAAGCCAACCCCAGAGAGGCACATCCAAATCCCAGTGAGGGGTTCAAACAATAAGAGAAGGAAGAGAGGGGTTCCCTGAGGCTTTTTGCCCCTCCCTGGAAGACAGACACAGATAGGCCACTGCCATTACCCAGGGCTGCAGGGGAGGCCTCAGAGTCCGGGGAAGCGGGTAAGACCCAGCATTAAATACGTTATAAATAGGGAGCTCGGGCAGGTTAATACTGTGCGCACAGGTGGCCTTCACATTCCTCATGTCTGGCCAGGGACCAGGGCCTTGGCCCTGTTCCCAGTGATGCTGCTGGACCCTGAGGTGCTGCCGCCCATGGCTACCAGCGACCAGCAGCCAGGGTGCTGACTGGAATCCCCAGCAGTCTTAAGTCCCAAGACCCCAGGCACAAGGGTGCGGAGGCTCATGGCTGCTTTGTCTTGTTCCCGTTCTTCTGGAGTTTGGCGTGCACGACTTTGAGTGTGGTCAGGAAGTTGCCAAGGAAGAGGATGAGGAAGGTGAGGGCCAGCACGAATACCTAGTCCATCCGGAGCAATGCCCGGGGCAGGGGAGGAAGGAGAAGCTCGAGTCAATTCCCCTGTGGGAGAACCAGTCTCTAACCTCAACCCCAGACCCTTAGCAAAGCCACACGAGTGGCCAGGAAAGCGTGCAAGTAGGTGAATACTGTCGAGTCCCCAGGGTCAGGTGGGGTAACCCTCCTTTGTTCACGACACGGAGGGACCCCCTGACCTCTTGAATTCCTTCCTACTTCCTCTCAGACCCCAGCAGCAGAGAACTCCGGACACAGAAACCAGAACCAAGGCATTGAAAGACTCCTCCCCAAGGCAGTCCAGCCCTCCTCAAGCCTCCCACTCCCTACAGACAGACAGACAGACGACAGACAGACAGACGACAGACAGACGTAGGCATGGTACCTGCCATTCTTTGCATTCCTCGTGGCTGGAGAGCTCAAACAACGTGACGGCATTGTAGAGCTGCCAGAACTGGAGACAGGGAGACAGGCACCACTCACCCATCAGTTTCCCTGCAGATCCATGTGGAAAGCCAGGGAGATGGACCAAACCCCCAGCATCCAAGACCAACTCCCCAAGACACTGACAGCCCCAGCCCATGGAACCACACGTGTCTCGGAGACAGCAAGTCTCAAGGGCAAGCTTTCCCTTGTGTCTATAGTGTCCCTAGATCCTGAGGAAATAGGGATGGAAGAGGGGGGCTACCTGAGGCTTTCCACTTCTCCTTCAGAGAGACTGGCCCTATCCTGCACTATGGCCACAAGCAGTGGGTTAGCCCCCCAGGGAGCTCTGAGGCTCACACAGTAACTATATCACAACGGGGAGCTAGGTGGGGGTGATATTCTTATGGGCGGGTATCTTGGCCCAGACACCTGGGGACAGATACCTTGTGAGGGAGGGGAGCCCCCAAAGATCTTCCTGTCAGGGGGTACCCACAAACAGAGGGACTCACATGGCCACAGAAAAGGAAAGGCAGGAGGAAGGTGAGGCCCCGCCACATCCAAGACTGGAACCCTTCTGTGGGAAGAATTAAGAGGTTAAGTGTGTCTGACTACTTAGAAAACAGCAGGGTCTCTCTGTCACCCAGGCTGACCTCAAACTTCGAGGCTCAAGTGATCCTCCCGTGTCAGTCTCCCAAGTAGCTGGACTTCAGATATGTCCCACCACACCCGGCCCAACACTCCGTATATTATAAAGTTGAGACAAGAAATACAGGTGTTTCCGAGGGTAAGGCTGAGGCCCAGCAGTGAGCGGCGCCCTGGCATCCTACTGATGCCACACTGGGCTGAGACAGGATCCCCAATGAATTATGAACAGCAGGTGGGGTAAAGAATGGCAGCCCCAGTTTTGAGGCCTGGAAGTCCTGTGCCCTTCTGATGATGGGCCTCTATCCAGGGAGGTGCCAGTCTTCCCAACTCTGCCTGTTGCCCAGTTACTCACCCACGGTGAGGTCCAGGTGGTTCCTCTCCCCCAGGGCTCGAAGTCTGTAGAGACAGCCCCTCTGGTAATAGTACTGTAGGAACTGAACACAGCCTGTAGGGGGAGCACAGTGCCCGTGCTCAAGGAAAACATACTCAAGGCCTCTCCCCCAAATCCAAGGTCCTTATCAAACGCAAGTCAGTGGGTGGGCTGAGCAGAAGGGCAGAGAGACCACCCTGGTGACCTACTTTTTTATTTTAGTAAGTCACCACAGCTATATTCCTATGTCACTACCTCATTTTAGCATCCGTGTCTCCCTCGGCATGGAGCTACTTCTGTGCATCTCAATGTTGCTCCCAGAAAATCTCACATAGCTCGCATTCCAAAAAGCATTTACTGAGTGCCTACTGCAAGCCTAGGAAAATTCCAAAGGCTTCTATATCTGGTTGGTGCTTTGATGGGTCATTGCATGCCTGAGCTGTCCGTACTGTAAGGGATGAAGCATGTTCAGAGAGACTGGCCCTATCCTGCACCCCAAGACCGTGTTGGGGTGGGAGATGGATGGTCCAGATATCTATCCAGGACCCTCTCCCTCCCCTCCACATGTCAGGGTGGATATCTGCTGGGGACCTCCTCCTCAGTAAAATCCCCAGGTCCCTCCCCCAAAGCTGGGCTTGAGCACTCACTCTGAAAAATGGAGAACGCTAAAAACTGATTCCGAAACTTCTGATAAATTAGTCCATTAGGCCTGGAAAAAAAAACCACAAAGGTGGGACAAGCTGTAAAACCAGACATCCATTCATACTCCTTGTTTTCATTCCCACAGAAAGGAAGACAACATTCCAAAGGTAAAACAAAGTCCCAGATTCCTGTCCTTCGCCCTTGAGCCGACCAGGTCACACCCATCACCCTTTCTAGAATGAAGAGACCTCATGATCACTCTGATTCCTCGTGCTACTCCCCGTCACCTCTGCCCAGCCAACAGAAACTGTGAAATCGTCCCCAGAAAGCTCCCAGCTGTCTTGGCAGGACCCCGGCAGCTGGGCCTCTAACCCAGTTTTCAGTTCACTTGCTTTCCTCCTCATGTACCAGGCCCAGTTCTGGCCCCAAAAGAGGATGGGGGCGACGGTCAAAGGGGCCAGTGAGGGAGGACTCACCAAGTCAGCATCACTCCAGACAGGAACGTGGAGACGTAATGGTGAGACACCCACCAGCCTTTGATTCTTGGTGAGAACAAGAGAAAGAAACGAGTTCAGATGGGGAGAGAAATGCAGAGGTCCTTCTGCTTCCTAGCCTCGGAGCACGGGCTGCCCTGCAGCTGGAATGAGAAGTGGGCTCAAACCACACCTCATCTCTTCCTGCAGAGGTGGGGGTCAAAACAAACTACTTGCAGATTAGCCCAGGGACCTGTTCTGTGACCTAGAGAACACATCCTTACCCAGCACTGAGATAAGCCAAGTCTAATGATACCTAGGACCTATGAAGATTGAATTATGTGTGCGGATTCCTATGCTGGAGCCTCCCAACGTGACTGCATCTGGAGAGGTAACTGAGGCTAAGAGGACACAAGGGTGAAGCCTTCATTGACTATCTTTGACCTAGTGTCTCTGTAAGAGAAGGACCAGGAGCCGGGCGTTGGTGGCGCACGCCTTTAATCCCAGCACTCGGGAGGCAGAGGCAGGCGGATCTCTGTGAGTTCAAGACCAGCCTGGACTACCAAGCAAGTTCCAGGACAGCCTCCAAAGCCACAGAGAAACCCTGTCTCGGGGAAAAAAAAAAAAAAAAAAAAAAAAAAGAGAGGACCAGGAAGACCAGAGCACAGAGGGAAGGCCATACAGAACACAGGATGGGAAGGTAGCCATCTGCAAGCCAGCACTGATGACTCCCGGATCCTGGACTTCCAGCCCCTAGAGCCACAGGGAAGAAATGTCTGTTGGTTAAGATGCCCAATGTGTGGTTTCTTGTGGCCGCCCCACAGACAGATACAGATCTTTTTACATGCTGTCCTTTAGGCTTCTAGTTTCTTCCTTGCTATGCTCTGGGGTCCCAAGTTGAGTTTCAGACACAATGTCACTTCCACACAAAGGCCTGTGCTGACTACACTGCCTAAAAAAAACAGTTCCGCAACCTCAGTAGGGATAGAAATCTGGTTTTCATTTTTCTCAGGAGGCAGAGAAAGGCAGATCACTTGTGAGGAGTTCAAGACCAGCCTGGTCTATATAATGAGTAGAGGGGACCATGCGGATCTGCCGGCCGTTGGGGATGCGAGGGCCTTTTTTGTAATGGGAAGCAGGGTCTATTGAGTGTAGCTGACACGGCTCTATGTTGTCACCTCTATGGAAACCAGGTAACAACACGAATGAAGAAACATCCAGGAGCTATGGCTATTGAGAGAAGTAGCCTGAAGCCAGGCCTGGTGACACAGACCTATAATCCCAATACACAGAGGGTTGCTACAGGAGGATCTTGCATTCAAAGCCAGCCTGGACAACATATTGAGAGCTTATCTCAAATCTAAAGAGAGAGCAGCTGGAGAGATGGCTCAGTGGTTAAGAGCACCTGCTGCTCGTCTGAGGGACCTGAGTGCAGTTTCCAGCATCCACGTTAGGTGTCTCACAGCCACCTGCATCTCAAGCTCCAGGGGATCTACCAGCTTTGGTCTCTGTCTTAGTAAGGGTTTCTATTGCTGCAACAAAACACCAACCATGAAGCAAGTTGGGAGGAAAGAGTTCATTTGGCTTACACTTCTACAGCACAGCTCATCACTAAAGGAAGTCAGGACAGGAACTCAAACAGGGCAGGAGCCTGGAGGCAGGAGCTGATGCAGAGGCCGTGGAGGATGCTTCTTACTGGCTTGCTCCTCATGGCTTGCTCAGTCTCCTTTCTCGTAGAACCCAGGACCACCAGCCCAGGGCTGGCCCCACCCACAATGGGCTGGGCCCTCCCACATTGATCACTTATTGAGAAAATGCCTTACAGCGGAATCTCATGGAAACGTCTCATCAGCTGAGGCTCCTTCCTCTCTGATGACTCTAGCTTGTGTCAAGCTGACACAAAGCCAGCCAGTACAGGCTCCACAGGCACCTGCACTCATGTGCTCATACCCACATGCACACACATATGCCTACGCAATTAAAAATTACAAAAGCCAGGCGGTGGTGGTGCATGCCCATGATCCCAGCACTCAGGAGGCAGAGACAGTTGGATCTGTGTGAGTTCCAGGCCAGCCTGGTCTATAGTTCCAGGACAGCCAAGGCTACACAGAGAAACCCTGTCTCTAAAAACCTTTCAGCATCTAAAAGACCCTGGCTCCAATTTCCTAATAGCAAAGACAGTATTCAGGTCTTAACCACGAGGTCTCACTGCAACCTCCCCAGAGCTTTGCAAGGCCATGCCACAGCCCTCAGATCTTGGCCACCCCCAGGCTCCTTTGTCCTACTCTCTGCAAGGCTCCCCCGGTGTGGGAGCAGTTCGGGCTTGATACAGACCCTGGGCAGCAAGCCTGACTGAGCAGCAGCTTTTAATTTCACAGCTCGCTGTGTCCCAAGCCCAGCTCTGACAGATGCCACCAATAGACACAGCTCGGTGACATCGGGTGAAACTAGAAATCCACCTTCTTCCCCAGCTCATGAGCAACCTCCGTCATCGTCTGCATACCCCAAGGCTCTAGGCCGGTTCTGTGCCTATGTGTTTATGTAACAGTTTTCACTGTAATAGAATCCAGATGCTATACAATTCAGTGGGTTTTAGTCTTCTCACAGAGCTGTGCTACCATCACTACCATTGATTTTAGACCTTGGTCTCACTCCTATTACACTTGGACCTGTTTGCTATAGGAATGGAGATTGCAGGGAGCTTGGGGGCTCCAGGAGGAGCAGGTACACTTGCATCTAGAATGTGGGGACAGAGTGTACTAGTCTCTGGGCACTGTGCAGGGGAGAGCTCACTGCTTCTCCCTGCAGGTTCCATGCAGAAGAGAGGTGCACCAGGCACTCACTGTTCGGCATCAGGTAGCTTCTGGCGGTACGCTTTGGATTTTCAGAATAGCTGGTGGGATGACTTCTGCATCGCAGGCTCTCTCTCTCTCTGCCTGTTACATTCTGGATACATCTGTTCTAAGTATAGCCCCTAAAAGAGCCAGCAGAAGCCAGGGATCATGGCTGGCTCCTTGGAATAAACCAACACGACTGCTGATTCCTTAGTCACTCTGGTCCAGAAGAAAAGGCCTTTTGCCATCTGCCAGTCTTCAGTCTTTCTGGGTCCCAGGCCTCTGCTTCCTTATGGGGCAGCACCTCACCCAGGCAGGGATTTGAATGGAGACGGGGAATAAATCTGGACACCTAGCTCAGAGCCGGCCCTCTGGGGTCTACAGCCACAGTGATTGGCTCAGCAGTCAGCAAGTGACTCAAGCCTAGCCAATCACAAGTCAGTCTCAGGGCTCCCACTGGCTTCCACTCTGAGGCTGTAGATGAGATGAGAAGCCAGCCTGGACTGTGGGGAGTGAAGAGGGGAAGTAGCCAGTGGGGCTGCTGGAGCCCTTCGTGCCTCCTCGAACTTTCCAGTTAAAGAACAGCAAGAGCCCTTCAGATTTGGTCTGTTAGATGGGTTTCCAACATTTGTAAAATCCAAGGGAAAGCAGACTTCTTTATTGAGCTAACCAGTGACATCAGCGGTGGGAGGCATTGGACTCACCCAGGAGGGCTCCATACCAAAGTAGAGCAGTCCCCACCCCACCACCCCAGACCTGCTCTCCCCGACTTCCTTTCTGTTGTTCTAGTTCTGCTCCCAGGTACAAAACAGGAATGAGGAGATGTGCTGCTGCATGGTGCCCATCCTGGGTGGCAAGTCTCCAGGAAGCCTATGTGGTCAGGTCTGCTGTCCCAGGACACCTAGGTATCCCCAAAGACCTCTCCTCACTGAAGAGCTCAGATTGCATTAATCTCAGCAAGACTTAGGGGTATTTACTGGGTGCCACCAGCCCTGCACAAGCCCTGTGAGGCTTAAGGGGCGAGAGAGGGACCAGGATGGGGTGGCTCAGTGGCAGGGGCACTTGCTGCCAAGCCTGACAACCTGAATTCAATCCCCAGAACTCCTACAGGCTGCACTAAGTCTTCTACGTGCACGAGGTGGCACAGGTATCCCCACACACTCACAGACAATAAATGTTAAAAAAAATTAAGATGCGGGGCTGGAGAGAGATGGCTCAGTGGTTAAGAGCACTGGCTGCTCTTCCAGAGGACTGGGGTTCAATTCCCGGCACCCACATGGCAGCTCACAACTGTCTGTAATTCCAGTTTCAGGGGATCTGACACCCATGGCAAAACACCGATGCATATAAAATAAAAAATAAAAAAATAAAAATTAAGATGCACACAATTGTATATGCACACCCACATACACAGAGACAATAAACAACTTAAAATATTAAGACATACATAGTTGGACATGGATGCCGACATATGCACATAATAAAATAATAAATGCAAAAAATTTAAGACACACCAGGTAGTAATGGCACATGCCTTTTATCCCAGCACTCGGGAGGCAGAGGCAGGCAGATCTCTGTGAGTTTGAGACCAGCCTGGTCTACAAGAGTTAGTGCCAGGACAGCCTCCAAAGCCACAGAGAAACCCTGTCCCAAAAAAACAAAAATAAAAAATAAATAGATAAATGATAAAATAAAATAAGGCAAGCAAGGCATGGCTCTGGAACTCCATTCTCCTGATGCTTTTAGTGTCCCTGAAGAGCCTTGTCCTTCAATGGGACCCTCTCTTTTCTCTCTGGTAACGGCCCATGCACAACTAAACATACTAAGGCAAGCATGGAGGCCAAGAAACTACTCCAACATGGAAACTGCTACCAAAGACCACCATGCTCTCAGTAGTCCTTTACTGTGTGTCCGTTCGTCTGTCCATCTGTCTGTCCTTCCACCCATCCATTTATCTATCTGTGAGTGTGTGTGACTGGTGTATGTGTGTTTGCTCAAATATTAGACCCCCTCCCCAAGCTAGTATTACAGGCAGTTGTGAGCTGACGGGCGTGGGTGCTGGGAATCAAACTCAGTCCTCTGTGAGAATAATACATGCTCTTAACAACCACTGAGCCATTTCTCTCCTGCACCCCAATACTCTTGATGTGTGTAACAGAAACAACGAGCTAAACAGCAAACTCATGGGGACAGGAAAAGACAGGTAACCAGAAAGTCAAAAAAAAAAAAAAAAAAAGGTGGGGTGAGGGGGTGGGGTGTGGATCCAGGTGTGGTGGCACATGCATTTATTCACAGTATTTGGGAGCCAGAAGAGAGGGATCGCTGTGAGTTCAAGGCCAGCCTAGTCTACACAGCAAGTCCTAGGTCAGCCAGGGCTACGTAGTGAGACCCCATTTCAATAATAACCAGCAGAAGAGAACTGTTGCTAGACATGGTGGTACACACCTGAAAATCCTAGCAACTGAAGTGGCTAAAGCAGGAGGGGCCCAGGCTAGGATACTACTGAAGACTCTGCCTCAAAAGACAACCAACCAATCAATCAATCAATTGAGGAGCGGGCTGACTTGCACTGTGAGGAACTAATGGAGATGGTAACAGTGGCAGGGACAGGACAAGGAGGCATGCAGACACTCAGAAAGACTGACCTCGTCTGCATGCTACAAGCTGCATCCCTAAGCACTGCTGCCCCCTGGTGTGCCGGCAGCACTGTCCTTACCTCTCCAGCTGGCTCAGTGCTCAGGGGAAGAACCTGCTGCTGCAGGAGAGCTCCAGGCAGGAAAGGGAGGCCATGTCACATGACTGGGGGGCTGGCTCTTGTATTGCCCTGGCTGTCCTGGCACTCACTTTATAGATCAGGCTGGTCTCAAACTCACTGAGGTCTACTTGCCTCTGCCTCCAAAGCGCTAGGAGGAAAGGTATGGGCCACCACTCCAAGAATATTTCGGATCTTTTAAAATATATTTATTGTTTATTATGGGTGGGAATGTGTGGCGGTCAGAAAAAATTGTTTTGAATTTCTGTATGAGTGCTCTATCTGTATAGATGCCTGTAGGCCAGAAGAAGGGATCAAATCTCACTATAAATGGCTGTGAGCCACCATGTGGGTGCTGGGAATTGAACTCAGAACCTCTGGAAGAACAGCCAGTGCTCTTAACCACTGAACCGTCTCTCTAGCCCCCCAGAAAACAACTTTACAGTTGTTTCTCTCCTTCCATTATTTGGGTCCCAGAACTGAAGTCAGGTCAAAGCTCTGTGTCAGGAACCTTTACCCACTGAGTCATCATGCCAGCCCCAAATCAGGGGTCTTTTAAAAATATTTTTAAAATCTTCTTTAAAATTTAAATTTGCTGGGCGTTGGTGACCCACACCTTTGATCCCAGCACTCGGGAGGCAGAGGCAGGTGGATCTCTGTGAGTTCGAGGCCAGCCTGATCTACAGAGAGAGTTCTAGGACAACCTCCGAAGCTACAGAGAAACCCTGTCTCAAAAAAATTAATTTTATTTTATGTGTATGGCTGTTTTGCCTATATGTATGTATGGGCTCCACATATGTGCCTGGTATCCTCAGAAACCAGAAGAGGGTGTTGGATCCCCTCGGACTGAAGTTATAGATGGTTGTGAGTCATCATGTGGGTACTAGGAACCAAATGTAGGTCCTCTGCAAGAGTAGCAAGTGCTGTTAACTGCTGGGTCATCTCTCCAGTCCCCCAGATCGTGGATCTTAACTGGGATCCAAGACTCCACTCAGAGGCAGGCAGTGCAGACAGAAAATAAAGAAAAAACAGTGGGCCTTCCTGAATCCAGAACTACTGGGAACCTTCTGCCTGGATTCACACACTGACCCTAAGACATGGTGGCTCCCCAAGGGACACTGAAACAATCCAAAGGGAGACCACAGCCTGCCCAGTGCTCCAGAGCTGCTCCGACGCCCTGAAGACCCGTATCACTCGCTGGTCCCCTCTCCTCCTTACTTCTCTTGTGGAAGACATTCCACCCCTTTCACCAAAATCTGTTTATTCTCCCAGCAACAGTGTTCCTCCGGGACCCACCCCCACTCCTGATGCTTCTTTCCATTTGCTGATGGACCTAGGGGAAGGTGAGAACTCGCACGTGGGGAGCAGAGGAAACCTGAGTGAATGTGTAATATTGACATGAGCACAGCCATGTCAGAGACCTCCAAGCCTCAGACCCACTAGAAAAAGGTAAAGGCAACCCTGAGCTAGGCTCAGAAATGGCAAAGCCTGCCTTCCTAGTCCAAGTATAACGCCGATAACTACGTGCAGAAAATGTCCACTGTAGCTTTCCTCCCCCAGTTATACACGGAGAAGGTTGCTCCCCTACAGAGGCTGCTCCCGCCGAGATCAGCTAGCCCTCGTCTCCTTGGTCCAGACGTATACCATACCCCTGCCTCTTTGTTTATCTGTATGCAGTAACTCTGACTCCTTGTTCAGCTGTATGTAATAACAACAGCTCCATTCGACTCTGTGTCATAAACACATTGAGCTCTGGAGAGCTGCCTTCCACCTGAGAGTCCACCAGAAAGCCCAGGTCTGTCCCTGGAGCTGTGATGGACACACCACTCAAGCCTGGCCAATCACAACCTTTCATTCTCTGGGGACAAGGTTGGGGAAGTCTCTCAGAAGAAAGGAAATGTGCTGTGTTTGCTAGGAGTGAGGACATAAGCCCAGGGCTGTTGCAACACCCTATATAGGGCCGAAAACAGACAGCACCGAACGGGAGGGTGAGGGATGCAGAGTATCAGTTGCAGTGTCTGAGACCTGAACGAGACCTTACCTGACGTCATTCCCAGTGAACCTACTGTTTGTTAGGTGACAGGTTTCTAACGACCTGAAATCAGTCTGACTTAGGGTTTCTGCTGCTCGCCAGCAAGAGACTGACCATAAAGTAGGTGACATTATACCAACAGCATCAGCCACGGTCTCCCCCACCCTGGCGGTCAACATTTCTCTTTGGCTCTCTGTTGCCCCAACTGACTGTCGCCATAAGCTGGCGTCTAGTTACCTGGAGCCATTGCTGATGAGAATGCTCTCCCGAATGGTCAAGGTGCAGTAATACCACACGAGCAGGAAGTTGAAGACTTCATCTGTCACCCTGGTTGGGAGAAACAGCCCTTAGGGAAGAGAACAGCATGAGCTCTCCCCTCTCCCTGACAAGACAGCCAGGACCAGAACTGCCAAGGGTTTGTCCCGGTTCTTGAATGCCTCCTCTTGCCCATACCCAGTCCCTGTGCCGTCTTTACCTGGCCCCACCCACATCCCGAGGTCTAGCAGAGGTTCCCTCCCTAGCCATCCAGCCCACATAGCAACCGGAACATAACAGGTTTAAGCTGAAAATGTCGATAACTGACTATGACCACATGAGAGCTATCTAGGAGCTCAGCACCAGCACCGTCCTGTGACACCCTGACCTCTTACCTCTGGCCTCACCCTGACCTCTCACCTCTGGCCTCACCCTGACCTCTCACCTCTGGCCTCACCCTGACCTCTCACTTCTGGCCTCCTGAGTGGTAACAGAATGTGTTTTTGTTGTGTTCTCCAGTTGGTGGAACTTTGTCCAAGGGATAAATTAGACACGTGTATAAATAAGAGGAGGGGAGAAATGGGAATGTCCAGGCTCTAGGAGAGATTTAGACAATGATTTAGCACCTGACAAAACCACAGGCTGCCCAGGGAGGAACCCAGAGGCCCCAGCGTAAGGACCTGTGACTGCACACCAAGAACTCTCTTTCAAGGGGGCAGATGAGCAGGCATTACTTGTGTGTGCAGCCTTTGCCCTCAAGGGCACGAGCCAGGCACTGGCAGCAGGCAGGCATGGACTAAGAGCCTGCAAGGGCCTTTGTTGAGAAATTCAAGTAGCCAGGCCAGCAGCTGGACTCAGCAAAACACATGCTAGGAAGTAAACCTTGACACTTAGGGCAAATGCCTAAGCCACCCTTAACTATCTCCCCCTTTAAGGCAGAAAACCCAGGCAGTGAGGGGAGTGGACCAGACCCTCTTAGCAGTATGGCTCCTGTCTCCATCCTCAGCTCAGCTCTCCCTGCCATCCCTCCCTTTTCGGTCAGTGATGGGCAGACATGAGTACTACCACACACACGTGAGTTCACTGAAAGGCCTGCTGCCACAGTCTAACAAATGGAGAGACCGAGGACTCCCTAGGGAATCTGCCCGTAGATACAGCCATTCAGTCTCAAAGCCAGGGTTTAAACCCAGACAGCCTGGGTGGATAGCTCTTTTTATTTCTGTATGCATTGGTCTTTCTATGCATCAATCTTTTCTTTTTCTTTTTTTGAGATAGGGTCTTATACACTCTACCCTGGCCTCCAATTCTCTTGCAGCCAGTGATGACTTTGAACTTCTAATCTACCTGCCTCCACTCTCTAAGAGCTGAGATTAGGGGGGTACACCACTAAACCTGGCTTATTCAATGCTGGAGACTGAACCAAAGTCTCCTTGCAAGCTAAGCAAACTCTCTCCTGAGTTACATCTTCAGCCCTACTGATTTATTTATATGCAACTGAAATATAATTCACATACCATAACATTTTCCCTTCTAAGATATGAAATCTGAAGACTGGGGAGTGAATGCCTTTAATTCCAGCACTCGGGAGGCAGAGGCAGCATATCTCTGTGAATTTTAGGCCAGCCTGGGCTACATAGTGAGGTCCAGGTCTACCAAGGCTACAAAGAGACCACATATCAAAAAATAAATTTAAAAAATGTTCAAGATGTAATTTGGTGTCTTTTGCTCATTCTGTTATATCACTGACTAATTCCAGAGCATTCCCTCATTCTCAAAAGGAAATGCGTCTGCCCATGAATTGTCATTCCCTACTCCTGCTTCCCCTGGCAAGCTCTGCCCTCACTGCGTGTTTCTGAACCTGCCTTTTCTGGACACTGTGTACCAATGAACATACACAGTATGTGGCCTTTGTACCTGGCGTCTTCCACTTAGCATGATGCTGTCAAAGTTCATCCATGCTACAGCATGTCAGTGTTGTAATCCATGCTAAGGCCGTGTCCCATTCCAGCCTACAGGGAAACCACACTAGACTCTGTCAATGGCTACGTCATGAGATCCTGCTGGCAGCTACTCCATGAAGCTTGCTTAGATGGATACGGGATGGGCGGGAATGCTACTTCCTGTCAGCCATAACCGGTCCTCCCCATCCTATACCAGTCACAGGTTGGGGAAAGAGAAAAGACTGCCTCCCTGAGGACTCCCTCCTCGTATTCCCATGTCCTCTCCCGCACAGCCATGCCCCATTACCTGTAGTGAAGGACAAAGCGACACGCCACAGCACCCAGAAGCAGGATTATGGTCAGGTAGAGCTTGAACTTCTCATACTCGTCCTTGTATGCAAACCTGCCATGACAGAGATCCCAGGAAAGGCCTCATACTGCTGCCCTTCCACTCTGCCTCACCAGCTGCCCCCTCTGCCATAACCTGCCCATAGATCTACCGCAGAACCTTCAACCAGCGATGTCCAGTGAGGGCAAGAGGACCAACTACAAAAGACTTTGGGGTCAGGTTGGGGACACATGGGTCAAGTCAAAGACAAGTTCTCTACCCTCAGCTAAAGACTGCAGCAGAGACAAGGGCCAATGCCACCTGGAAATGTCACCTAGATTGGTTAGGCAGGACTCTGTTCTCCAGGACAAATGCTGTGATAAGGTGTAGGAGAGTAGATGTCACTCTCATGGGAAATGGGGGAGGGAGAGGTCCTCAAAAGCTCCCCCATGGAGGTGGGCAGGATCAGAAAGCCAGATAGCCAGAGCCTCAACTTCTAACAAGTCTTGATCCAATGCAAAAACCCTAGCTTCAATTCATCGTCCCCCAGAAAAGGAACAAGAGGCTGGCTTCCCTGGCACTGGTCGGGATCTAGGCATACTCACTTGGCCTGGTTGCTGAGGAGGGTCACGTTCACATTGCCAAGAACCAGATTCAAGTAGAGCCTGGAAGGAAAGACCTGTGAGGGTGCAACCAATACTTTTCAAGCTTAGTGAATGCACATTGAGCACCTCATGTTAAAACACAGGATGATAAGCTAACAGTCCAATGGGCCCCACGTGGCTGGAACAATGGTAAACTAGACAGTATGGCAACTTCATACATAGCAGTATGACCATCTGCTTCCCACTGAGGCTTACTTACAGGCCATATCTCCCAGCCTCCTTTGCAGCTAGATAAAAGCAGGTAACTAACTTACAAAGAATCAAAGGTATTTATCCAACATCTAGGTCGATTTTAAAAAGGTTCTAGGCCAGCTGGGAGTGGTACACACCTTTAATCCCAGTATTTGGGTAGCAGAGGCAGACAGATCTCTGGGTTTGAATTCCAGGATAGCCAGGGCTACACAAAGAAACCCTACCTCAAAAAACACCACAAAAAAAAAAAAAAAAAAGACTCTAAGCTAACAAGAGTCAATGGATAAAAGTACATGCTGCTAAGCCTGATGACATGAGTTTGATCCCACACGATAGAAGGAGGGAAGAGACTCCTGCAAGGTGTCCTCTGACCTCCAAATACACACCAAGGACATGTATGTGCCCCCAAACATGCATACACATAAGTAAACGTAGGGACATGAGCATTCATTTCCACTGGGTATGCATGCCAGAAGGGTAGGTTGGGGTCACAATGTATATTATCTATTTAACTGTCATAAGACATGGCAGCTGTTTTTTTGTTTTTTTTTTTTTTAAGGGACCATTTTCTTCCTTCCCTCTTTTCCTTTCCTGAAGCTGTGATGGTGGAAAGTGTCTACGTCCTCATAGAAGAAGACAGCTACTGAGGGGTAGGGAAGCAACAGCTGGAGAAACTACAGGCCCCTGGATGGTCTCATGAGCCCATGGCTCTTGGCCTCTAGCCTCAGATTCTCTCAAACTCACATGCTCATGCTCTCTCTCTCAATCTCTCTCTCTCTCATATGTGTATCGATGTTTTGCGCCTATGTACATCTGTATACAACATGTGTATAGTGCCTTCAGAGCCCAGAGTAGGGTATCAGATCCCCTGGAATTACAGTTATAGACAGCTGCCAGCTACCACGTGGGTGCTGGAATTGAACCCAGGTTCTCTGCCATCACTCCAGCTCCAGGAGAAACTCTCTTATGTGAGCCATGGCATGGCTAGGTCTCTCTCTGTTCAACAGCTTGTGCTCCAACACACTACCAAAGGTGCAAAGGTTCCTTGAATCCTTGCGGGTAGAGAGGAAGGGTATATTCCTATGATTGACGTGGCTTTGGAAAGACTCCACTGAGGTGATGGCGCATGGATTGCGCTTTGAAGACTGAGTAGAAGCTGGGGAGGAGCAATGGGAGCAGGTGCCCTTCTTTCCCACCATGAGTGGCTTTCTGGAGCACTGCTGGTCGGAGAAGACGTGAAGTGTTAAAAGGACACCTGTGTTTCTACCTAACACTCGGTCCCTACATCCTGCATGGGCAATGCGATCCCTTCAGAGGACTCAGCTTTATCAAAGCAGCACATCCTCCTGATTGGGTTAAGAATGATCACGTAGCCAGGTGGTGGCGGCACACGCCTTTAATCCCAGCACTCGGGAGGCAGACGCAGGCGGATCTCTGTGAGTTCCAGGCCTAGCTGGAGGGGCAGCCTCCAAAACAATACAGAGAAACCCTGTCTCGTAAAAAGAAAAAAAAAAATCACGTGACACAATCTAAACCAATGAAAAACCAATGGCCAGAGTTTTCCTATCATGGCTGTGGAGTAGTTTATAGAGAAAGAATTGCCCATAAATAGCATACTGGGAAAGACAATTAAAAAGTTAAATGAGAAGTGGGTTCTAACAGCATCTAAATGGCAGGATCCGTTCACACCTGATCTGCATTTGTACTACGTCTGTGCTATAAACCCCCCCCCATTTCCTCTCAGACAACTTTGAGTTGTCCAGCTTGCGTGACACAGACTCCCAACTGATGCAGAACGCCCAAACGGCTGGGGAGCAGAAAGCTGGGGAAACGAGTCTGAGTAACACAGTGCTGTAGGTCACGGATGACGGAGGGAGGGAGCTGCTGATACGACTGCCAGCCAACGTGGGGAGCTTGTAATCCAAGCACAGCAAAAGGAGGGAAAACGAGGGATGGGCTCCAATGTCCCAGGGTCACCACATCACACCCTTCTAGCTCAGGCTAACAGGAACCTCCCCGGGAAAGATCTGACTCCATGCCAGGCTAAACCCTGCTTCAAAAACAGAGAGTAAGTAAGGGCAGAGTGTGGCGCGCACCTGTAATTATAGCCACTCAGGAGGTGGAGGCAGGACAAACACCCCAAGCTTGAGGGCAGCTTGGTCTACAGAGAGTTCCAGGCCAGCCAGAGCAATATACTGAGGCCCTTCCTTAAAACACTAAAAAAAAAAAAAAAAAAAGGCTGGGGATGTAGCTGAGTCTGGAACACTGCCTAGCATGCCAGGGTGCCCTGGTTCCAAGCCCCAAGGGAGACAAAAGGGGCAAATGCCTCACTCTAATACAGCAGGCTGTTGAGGATAAAGTGACAGCTGCCACGGGCATGTCTAGTCAATGCTGGGCATGCAAAACGCACTCAATACATGCTGGCTCTCTTGAGGGAGAACACTTTCTTTCCACCCCAGGTGGCACACACAGGGATCAGGTGCCAACTCACAAGAGTCACCCCCGGGACGTCACTCCAGACACAAGGGGAGGACTGCAGCTCCTCCTGGATTGGGAGGAGCAGGAACACAAGTGCCCTCTCCCCCCTTCTTGCCCCCATCCCCCCCTTCCTTTGAATCCCATACCCCAGGAGGGGGTGGGGCGTTCCTACTCCTACCCATTCTTCTTCGGTAGGTAGGCCTCCATGTCGAAGAAGACATTCTGCCGCTCCTTAATGTTGGCGCCTATCTGCTGGATGAGCTCCGCCTCCTCTTGACTGGAATGGCGTTTGTACCTGTAATGAGACTGACGCTGAGCTCCCGTAGCCTTGAGACCTTGGCGACACCACCTCCCATACCCGACAAATGAGGGTGGCGTTCACAAATAGCCACGTAAAGAAGATGTGAGAGACGAGGCAGAGCATCTGGAAGGAGACTCAGCGACAGCAGCTGATGGGCTGGGGTGGGTAGGCTGTTTGCTTCTACTGTCACAGAACTTAAAGACGTCTAAGTGGACTGACTGCCTAGAGGCACGAGAAAGCCTTAGCAGCCAACCAATCAGGCCTTCCCGTTGCTCTTTGTCAAAACCAGAAAGCCAAGCTGGAGGCCAGTGTGGTGGCACGTGCTTATAATCGCAACCCTCAGGAAGACAGGAGAGCGGGGTGCTGTGGCACCACACACCTCAATCCCGCCACAGTCTTCCTGTTCCAGAAGATGTAGCCTCTGATGCTCTCATTGCAACCCCAAGAGAGCGGGAGCCAGCCCCGCCTCTACCTTATGAGGGGTCATGTCTAAACCCGAAATCACGCCCAGAGGGTGTGGCCACCACCACAAGGTCACTGGCACTACAGACACTCAGGAGGCAGAGGCAGGTGGATCTCTGAGTTCCAGGCCAGCCTGGTCTACAAAGCAAGTTCTAGGACAGCCAGGGTTACACAAAGCAATCCTGTCTCAAAAAACCAAACCCTCACCTCCCCCAAAAAGAGGACGAGGCAGAGGCACTTGGAGGACAGGGAGGCAGAAGGATTGGGAGTTCAGGTCATCCTTGGATACAGCCAATTAGCGGTTACCTTGGGCTACATGACACCCCGTCTTTAAAAAACGAAGAAAAACTGAACCATATTGGGAGATGCCACACCCTGGAATGGGAGGGATCCTCAGTCTAGGGCCCTAACTCACGGGTCAGGCTTCCTCAGCTAGTGCCTCTCTGTGATGCTGAGCAGTGTCTGTCAGAGATGGCCTTGTGGGCTCTACTATATCTACCAGGGTTCCAATGAGCACCCAGTGTCCAAACAGCCTCATCAGCACACAATTACCAAAAAGACAGAGGCTGGAAGCCCCAGTCTTCCTTAGTCAGGAAGACCGGAGGATCTGAGCTCAGCAGGCAGGTGGCCACCTCAGTAACCAAGACAGCAAAAGACAGAGAAAAGCAGAATTCAGAGGAAAAAAACAGAATCCTAGAAACACACCCTGACCCCTGGATCCATGGATGCCTGAAGCTATCCCTTGGTTTTTTTCCATTAAAATTTCCATTTTCTTCTTACGCCAGTTTGGTGTTGGGCTTCTGTCCCTTTAGACCCAGGGGAGAGCTAGGGGTGCAGCTCTTTGGTGGAAGCTCACCTCCTGTGTGCAAAGCCCTGGTTCCATCCCAATGAACCGAGCACTGTGTAAACCACGTCTGGTGATTGATACCTGTAATCTAACTCAGAAGGGGAGGAAGGAGGGCCAGAGATTCAAGGTCATCTTCTTCAGCTGCCTATGGAGTGAGCTGGGTGGAGGCAGGGGCAGGAGACCCCGGGGGAGCTTGCGAGCATGGCCCCTCACCTCTGGAGTGTGTGCTTCAGGTCCCTGAGGCGTCTCTTCTGCTTGCTGATGGAAGTGCTGCACTGCGTCTGGAGCGCCCCCAGCTCCTCCAGCTTCTGCTTGTAGATCCTGTGCGTCTCCTGGAGGGCAGAGCAGCGTGGTGGGAGGACGGAACACAGACACATCATTTTCACAGGTCTGGACACACAACGAGAGCAGTCTCGGGAGACAGCGTAACGGTACAACTACCAGGGATGGGCAGTGAAAATCAGAACTGACTGTGGAAGGCGGCAGGACGTCAAAGCTGTGGAATAAGTGCCGGCTCTCCCCCTCACGTCCTTCCTGAATTATTATTATTTTTTTAAGACAGAGTCTCTCGCAGGGCGTTGGTGGCGCACGCTTTTAATCCCAGCATTCGGGAGGCAGAGGCAGGCGGATCTCTGTGAGTTCGAGGCTGGGCTGGACCGACAGCCTCCAAAACAATACAGAGAAACCCTGTCTCTCGTAAAAACCAAAAAAAAAAAAAAAAAGACAGAGTCTCTCTATGTAGCCATGGTTGTCCTGGAAGTCACTGTGCAGACCAGGCTGGCCTTGAACAAAAATTCCCCAGGCCTCTGCTGAGTGTTGGGATTAAGGCATATGCCTATCTCATTCTTTCTGATGTTAACAACCAAACCTGTCCTGTTGTGGAAGGGCTGCCATGCGTGGTGTGTGTGTGTGTGTGTCTGTCTGTCTGTCTGTGGATCGAGGCCAGTAATTTGTGTACTCTAGGCATGTTTTCTACCACTGAAGTGCATTTTCAGCGTCCTTGGCAAATGTTTCTTCTTGATTTTGTGGAACCGGATTTCAAACTTCCCAGGACGGTGTTGAACTCACTGTGTAGCTGAGGGTGACCCTGAACCCCTGAATCTTTATTTCTATCTCCCCAGTATGAGGATTACACCCATATGACAACACACGCCACCAATGTGGTACTGGGACTCAAACCCAGGGCTTTATGCATGCAGACGTACACGCTACCAAGTAAACTACATGCCCAGGCTACCCCTTGTCAATTCTTCATCTACATGGTTTGGCCGAGCAGAAGATGCCCAGTCCAGCTGGTCACATGTCCAGTGTCAGCCAATCATCACTCTCTAGTCTGTTTGCCTCACTGGTAAACACATAGTTCCTATTGACCCAATGAGAGCCAGTCCTGGGACTTTGGCTAGAAGGATTACATGAAAGATGTTTTGTTCCCCTAGGTACCCTCACTCTAGTCTAAGTGGGCCAAGTCTTCCTAAGAAGGAAGCCAGGCATGAAAAGAGAATCCAGGGATGATGAGATGAAATTCTCATAGCATCTGCTACGGCTTAGGTTTATGTCCAAAGGTTATGTGCTGGGATCTTCAATTGCTGGGAACAAGTGAGAGGTAACTAGGTCAAGGCAGCACGCTGTCGAAAGGACTAAGTTGCAGGAGACGGTTAAGTCTCATGGGACTCCATCGGGCCTCACAAGAACATACTGTGATGTGTAAGTCTGGGGCTTCTCCCCCAACCTCTCAACGCATGTTCTTCCTGTTCTTCCATACACACCCACTCCTTCACTACCTTCTTTCTTTTTTGGTTTTTCGAGACAGGGTTTCTGTGTGGCTTTGGAGGCTGTCCTGGAACTAGCTTTTATAGACTAGGCTGGTCTCGAACTCACAGAGATCCTCCTGCCTCTGCCTCCAGAATGCTGGGATTAAAGGCGTGCGCCATCAACACCCGGCTTTCATTCACTACTCACTTCATATTCTATGGTATTATCTACCCCGAGACATACAGCATGGCCCTTGCCAGATGCAGCCTCGAGCCTCCAAAACTATGAGCCAAAGCAGACCTCTCCCCCTTATAAAGCACCAGTCTCAAGTATTTTACGGTAACAGCACAACACAGATTTCTGCTCTTGGGTTTGAGTCATGGGCTGTACGGACCGGTAAGCTCCTCTCTACTTCCTGTTCACTGAGCTTTTGATCCTCGCTATGAAGAGAGCTCTAGCTAAGTCAGCTAAGAAAAGCTCCAATTCCCACCACCCTCCACAACCAGACATCTTCCCTGCCCCAGACATCATCACTCAATAAACCTGGTATTCATCTTGGAAATAACCCTTCTGAGCTATCTAACAAGAGACTTGTCCCAATGCTGGGAGAAGGCACTGCAGTGAGTCCTCAGATTGCTGCCACACTGGACTCCCAGTGAGTAATGTCTGTGGAGGTGACAGGGAAAGCAGGAGGGTTGCAGCATGAAGCTAAAACCAATGAACAGTAGACAAAGTCCAAAGAACCATTTTCATTTCCTCCCCTTTCCTCCTTCCCTCCTCCCCTCTCTCCCTCCTTCCTTCCTGGCTGACCTGCAACAGAGCTAATTTCATTTGTTCTCTCCCTCCCTTTCTTTCTGGCTGACCTGCAACTCTATGCAGACAGGAATGGACTTGAACTCAGAGATCTGAATGCCTCTTTGTCCCTCGTGTTAATTAAGATCAAATGCACATGCCACCACACCTGGCTTAAACAGACATTTCCTTAGCTGATACAGAAGCATGTTTAGCAGAGGAGAAAAAGAGGGGACACCAGAGGGGAAAGTCATGTTTTCCTAATATGCTATTTATCCTAAGATGATTTCACAAGTGCAGACTTTCAGGAGTCATGTGAATACTGACGCTCTCTAAACTCCCCAGTCATGAGAGCTTCAGTATGTACTTGTCTCCTGGGGTGCACTTTCTTCTCAATGGGGATCAGTACCCACCAGGTCAACCTGCCATCTTGTACACAGAGATCTAGGTGCTTGGAATAAAGGACTGAGGAGAGGGGCACTCACTCTCTTTCGGGGTTCCGGTCGGGTCTTGAAAGGCTGCAGAGACTAACCTGGGTTTTCAGTTTCTCGTGTAAGTAATTTCCCACAAAAAATAACCAACAACATCCTTATCCCGTGTACTGTTTTCCCAACACCATCTAATTCTGTGGAGGCTGTAAGACAGAAGTGGGTTTTGAAGGGTTGAAAATAACAATTATTTTAAAATAGCCCACACCCTGTGAACATTACAAGTTACTGGAATTGTAGCAGCCACACATACAGTTTTACTGATGCTCTGTCACGCCTGTCACACATGGTCTGTGACTGCTTGATACTGCATCAGCGGAGTGAGTGGCAGTGACAGAGACCATATCGCCTCCAAAGCTTAAAAAAAGAAAAAAGAGGGGCTGGAGAGATGGTTCAGCGGTTAGGAGCACTGGCTGCTCTTCCAGAGGACCTGGGTTCAGCTCCCAGCACCCACATGGCGGCTCACAACTGTCTGTAACTCCAGTTTCAGGAGATCTGACACCTTCACACAGACACACCTGCAGGCAAAACGCCAATGCTCATAAAATTAAAATTTTTAAAAATTTAAAATCCGTATCTATTTGTCCCTTTGCCAAAGAAGTTTGCCCCACCCACCCCACCCCAGTGCCAACACGTCAGGGAGTTAGCTGTCATATCTGTTATATTCAGATGCCAACTATCTCTTTAAAATGTTTTAAATTACATGTGTTCATTCTGTGTGTGGTTGTTTGCTTGTTGTCTGCCACAGTGTGTGTCCTGGCTGGTTTTGTGTCAACTTGACACAAGCTAGGGTCGTCAGAGAGGAGGGAAGCCTCACTTGAGGCTCCATGAGATCCACCTGTAGGACCTTTTCTCAATTAGTGATCAATGGGGTGGGGGAGGCAGCCCATGTTTGGTGGGACCATCCCTGGACTGGTGGTGGTCCTGGGTTCTGTAAGAAAGCAGGTTGAGCCAGGCGGTGGTGGCACACACCTTTAATCCCAGCACTCCGGAGGCAGAGGCAGGCGGATCTCTGTGAGTTCGAGGCCAGGCTGGACCGACAGCCTCAAAAACAATACAGAGAAACCCTGTCTGGTAAAAACCAAAATAAATAAATAAATAAATAAAAAAGAAAGCAGGTTGAGCAAGCCACAGGAGCAAGCCAGTAAGCAGCACCCCTCCACGGCCTCTGCATCAGCTCCTGCCTCCAGGTTCCCGCCCTGTTTGAGTTCCCGTCCTGACTTCCTTCAGTGATGAGCTGTGCTGTGGAAGTGTAAGCCAAATGAACTCTTTCCTCCCAACTTGCTTCATGGTGGTGGTGCTTAGTTGCAGCAATAGAAACCCTAGCTAAGACAGTGTACATGGGGGGGGTCAGAGGACGGTCTGCAGGAGTGGTTCTCTCCGTCCACCATGTGGGTCCCAGTGATAGACCTCAGGTCACCAGGTTGGGTGGCAGGCAAGCACATTTACTTGCTAAGGCATCTTGCGGCCCAACTGTCCCTTTTATGGCATTTGTCCTTCAGATCTTGGGTCCCATTCAATTTTACACTGAGTATTCATGTATGTATTTTTGTCTCTTCATTAACCTGGAACGGAACCTCAACCCCCATCTCTCAACTGACATCTTTACGGAGTCCAGTTACATCATTTAGAGAATGTCTCTAACCTGCGTTCAATCTGATGCTTCGTTAGGATTTGATTCTGGTTTTTTAGTGCTTGGATGTGGTGCTCCATGCTCTGGCTCCCCACCAGGAGGAACACAGCGGCGTTAGGTGAGACATCATCTCAGAGCGCCTGGGGAGGGAGGGAGGGAGGGAGGGAGGGAGGGAGGTGTGTGTGTGTGTGTGTGTGTGTGTGTGTACGTGTACCTGTGCGTGTGTGTGTGTCCATGTCCGGTCTCTACTGCAGCATGATTGACTTTCGCTATCTGTAATTAACAAGTTATCCCCGGGCATGTAGCACATGTGAGGCCCCATCAACAGAAATGAATACGTAAATACAATGAAGAAGAGAGACCACGTGTAAATGAGTTTTTGATGCTTCAGGGCAACACATATCTGCAACAAAGGAAAGCCTCCCAGACATCACAGGGAAGGCGGGACCCAAGATAGCAGACTAGAAGGTGGTGCCTTTGCACGAGAGGTTCCCACATGATAAAAGGCTACACAGCCTCCCGGCACTCTTAAGTGTTAGGTTCTACCTTCGAGAGATAAGACAAAGGGTGTGGAACGAGCAGCCAGATGCTGACCAGGCCCTCTCCAGTGTGAATTAATATTTAATTTCACAAGTCAAACATGAAGACATTATCCTTGTTAAAAATT